GTATGTACTCAGCAACTATTGAATTTCTATGCAATAAATATTGCATTGGTGTGCTTTAGAAAAAGTACTAGGTGTTTCCATAGTATCTAATTTGCATATTTCATCAACATTTTGCTTGGAACAAAAGGCACTATTTCGTTGGAAAAAAGAACGAATTGCTAAGGAAAATTCATATTTGTGCCGAAACACCTGAAATCATTACCCCTTGACATCCAGAGTTTTGAAATATTGATTTTGTTGCTAGTTGTGTTTGTTTTTCGTGGCTTTGGTTTTTTAGTTGGGGTTGTTTTGGTGTCACCTTTCCAAGAGTCACAGAATAACGCAGTTTTTTGGTTTGGGCTTCTTGGCATCCTGAGTTTGCTGCTTTTAAACTTTTTTTGGGTTATGGAAACCTGTAAACGTAGACCTGGGGGGGAAGCATATATACATATATGTGTATACATATATATGTACAGATATAGATATAGATATAGATATAGACATAGACATAGACGTAGACATAGACATAGACATAGACATGTACATATACATACACATATACGTAAACATGTACATGTACATGTACATATACATATTATATATATATATATATACATGTTGCATCGAGGTGCTTGGCAGCCTTGTCGGGAATCTGGTCCTCCACTTCAGACAGCCAAGCCTTCCAAGAGGACGTGTTGGACTCGCTGGACTTAGGGCTCAGGGAGCTTAGGGTTTGAGCTTTGGGGTTTGGGGGTGGGGGTTTGGGTTTAGGTTTTGGCTTTGGGGCTTATTTCAGGGTTCAGGTTTGGGGTTTAGGGCTTAGGAGCTTAGGATTTAGGGTTTGGGCTTGGGTTCGGGGCTTAGAAGGTTTAGAAACTTTAGGGCTCAGGGTGTGTAAGGCTTAGGGCTTAGGAAACTTGGGGTTTGGGGTTTCGGTTTGGGGTTTGGGTTTTGGGCTTTGATAGAAGGTTTAGAAGGTTTAGGGTTCGGTTTGGGGTTTGGGTTTGGGTTTGGGGCTTAGAAGGTTTTCAAAGTTTAGGGTTTTGGGTTTGGGGTTCGGTGTTTGGGTTTGAGGCTTAGAAGGCTTAGAAAGTGTAGGGTTTGGGGTGTACTAGGTTTAGGGTTTCGGGCTTAGGGTTTAGGATTTGGGGCTTTGGGTTTGGGTTTGGACTTGGGTTTGGGTTTGGGTTTGGGTTTGGGGCTTAGAAGGTTTAGAAGGTTTACAAAGTTTAGGGATTGGGGTGTACTAGGTTTAGGGTTTTGGGTTCAGGGTTGGGGGGCTTGGGGTTTGGGGCTTAGAAGGTTTAGAAGGTTCAATTCGGGTTCAGGGTGCACTAGGTTTAGGGTTTTGGGTTCAGGGTTCAGGGCTCAGGGTTTAGTAGGTTTGGTTCAAGGGCCGAAGGCCACAAGATCCCTGAGCTCTGCACATCCAATGCCTCCACTCCTCAGTCCGGCCCTACTCTTGACCCTACTTTGCACAAAGGGTAAAGTCCAAAAAGAATTTAAGCCCTAAGCCCTAAGCCCTAAACCCTAAACCCTAAAGAAGCAAAGCTAGTCAATGCAAGAGATCCTGAACCTCCTCACCCCGCAGCCGCCTGCGGGTCGAAGCGCATGCCTGTGGACTGCATAGCTCAGCTACCCCCTTACGCTGAAGCTCCGTGGCCCACTGAAGCCTTACATGTAGGGGGGTTGTTTTTTCTGTGGGGATTTAGGGTGTTGGGTTGAGGGATTGGGGCGAAAGCTCTTGAATCTAAATTTGCCTATACAGGTGTTCAGCAGTCTCTGGTATAAACTCAGAAAACCTGTCTCCACACGCCCAGAGGACCCAACACAGCACCCTTCTACTCAAGGAATAAACTGCAATTCATCGTGAGGACCCCTTCGCGTACTTGTAAGGCATATTCCTGCGTATCACCCTTAGGCCTAGAAGTCTAGATCCGTTCGGGGCTTCGGGGACTGGTCTCAATTCTGGGGCTGGGTCCGCCATTCATGAGATGTTTCTGTTTGGGCGGGAACGCTTGAGGGCGTACCCGAGCTTGCGAATATTGCGATCATGATTATTGATGCTATATTCTTATCTTCTAATTCTGTTGCTAGTACTGCTATTACTGCTATTCCTGCTATTACTGAAAGCATTCACAGTTCCACCAGCTGCCCCTAGGGGTCATGGGTAGCTACAAGTAGGGTTCTAAGTGGGATAACTATACTGGCAACCCTAAACCCTAAAGCCTAAAGCCTAAACCCTAAACCCTAAACCCTAAACCCTAAACCCTAAACCCTCCTCAACCCTAAACCCTACTTACAAAGCTACCCATGAACCTTCAGGTATCAGCCCTGAGTCGCACACCTGTCGGCCCGAGCACATGGGACGTGACCTCGACAGGATGGGTTGGGGCTTGGGGTTTAGGGTTTAGGGTTTGGGGTTTGGGGTTTGGGGTTCGGGTTTCGGGTTTAGGGTTTAGGGTTTTGGGGTTTAGGGTTTGGGGTTAGGGTTTCGGGTTTGGGGTTTGGGGTTTGGGGTTTGGGGTTCGGGTTTAGGGTTTAGGGTTTTGGGGTTTGGGGTTTGGGGTTTGGGGTTAGGGTTTCGGGTTTGGGGTTTAGGGTTTGGGGTTTGGGGTTCGGGTTTAGGGTTTAGGGTTTAGGGTTTAGGGTTTAAGGTTTAGGGTTTAGGGTTTAGGGTTTAGGGTTTAGGGTTTAGGGTTTAGGGTTTAGGGTTTAGGGTTTAGGGTTTAGGGTTTAGGGTTTAGGGTTTAGGGTTTAGGGTCTGCGAGGGGTTGGGCGTTCATGCCTGTAGGATCGCTTGTTGATACTATGAGGTTTTGGGGTGGTGGGCTTGGGGCTTGACAAATAGAACTGACGTCCCGATCCCTTGTACTCCTACTAGCCGTCACGCCTCGTCTTTAAACGCTCCTTTGATTCCATGCTGGTTTTGAGGAGGGTAAACCCATGTTGGAGGTTGTTCTGTTCTTAGAGGCCTCTTGAGATAGAAATGTTCACTACAAACAGGCACCTGCACGGAGGGGGGCACACCTTCAAGCACCCCCACAAGATTGAACCCTAACCCCCTAACCGAGCCTCTCGACAAACTCTAAATCCCTCAACCACTGAGCCCCTAAAACGACCCTCAACCCTAGTTTCGCCCTAAACCCCCTGTCCAGACCGGCCCGAACTTGGCTTGGGGCCAGGTAGTAGCTTGGCACGGACGGCACGCCGAATGCTTGGCCCTGCAAATGGCGGGGCTTGGGGGGGGGGGGGGGGGGTGGTCCTCCAAAATTAGTACATAGAGGATTTTTTATAGTAAGTCAGTCAGCTGGAAGTTAAGGTTCGTAGGGATCTGCGGCAGAGTTCTTGAACGTTGTTGTTTGGCACCGGGACCGAAAGTCACTCACAGATACCTGGGTTTAGGGTTTAGGGCTTAGGGTTACCGCTATGCCGCTAAGCCCTCTCTTTTCACTAAGACCAGGGGAAGGCGTCTCCCTGGGACTGTGCTTGACTGGCCTCTGGGGGTTTGGGGTTTCGCGTGTCCTACACCTGGGCTGCAGTGACGATACACGTGCAATGGCGGAGGGTGCGAGTGTAGCACCTTTTTCTGCTGGGATGGCTCGTGCTTGAAAACACAAGGTTCTGAGGCCAACCACTGAAGTAGGTCTGATCTGACCGCGGCTCTATCAAAATACTCGTGCCTGCATCAGGAAGGCCAACCAGTGCCTGACAGCTTCCTTCCTCTGACCGTCTGCTTGGCGCTGAGCTGAGAACCAAAGAAACATCCATGCACAGAGCCTGGGTGTAAGGTTTATGGCTCAGTATAGGGCAGAAGTCGGAAAGTCCGGTTTACACTGCACCCTATCAGATCCCCATCCCGGAAACCCCAACCCTCCTTGAGATCGCCGCCAGCTCGATGCACCCGGTGGTTCCACGGCTACAGCATGCCGCGACCCCCAAAAGTACAGAAGCTTGAAAGTGCCCCAAGCCCTTCCTATGGCAGCACCCACTTCAATGGCTCTTTCAGTCTTGTTGACTGCTAGAAGCTCTTCGCAGCTCCATCTCATCAGGTGCGTCGTTGTTGGGCCCCCGGATCCCCAGCGCTTATGCCTTGATCTTCGGCCTTCGCCTTCATCTCGCGCGCCTTTCGCGCACGCGCCTTTCGCCTTTCGCTCACACGGCAGCCTCAGCGCCTGCTCTCCCCGCCGCGCCGTTGTGGGCGATCTTCAGTTGCGAACCCCAACACAGCCTCGTGCGTCACGCCTTTGCAAAGCCCTCCCGATTCTGAGCATCAGGTCCTTGGTCAGGATGTCGGGCGTGTCCATCAATGAGTGCCTGGTGCTTGTGGAGGCGGGCGGGGCATCCATGGCGCTGAGAAGGCGAAGGGGCCTGCCACTGCAGATGTAATAAAAACGCGCGTCGATCAGGAGGTCCGCCAGCGGTGTCACGTTCTTTCGAGACATGCACGCAGGCCACTGCTCATACTCTTTGTGCTCTGAGATGAGTGGTCCGAGCAGGCTGACGGGTCGAAGATGCAGAGACCGCCGCGGTACTCGACAGCCCGATGATTCTGCTGGGCCCAAAGTTGTCTCTGTCCACATGGATCTGAGTCTGCCAGTCTGCGACAATGCCAAAGCTCCGGGTTCCGACTCGGGGTCTGTCTTGCATGCCTCGGAGGGATGCTGGCATCTTATTGCGTTCAGCAGGGGCCTGGTGCTCTTGGCTCGCTCTCCGCAGGATACCTTACCAGAGTCGATTCGCCATCTTCAACTGCAAGGTCGAAAGCCACGCGCGCTCCCATGACGAGATGGGAGCGCCGTCAGAGGTGGGCCCAAGCTGCTTCTCCGCCGTGCTTCGCGAGCTCCACGAAGTCTACACCCGGTCAAGCGGGGATGGGAAGCTGTTCTGATAGTCAGGTCCCGTTTGCAGGCACCCTGTCTATAAGGGTCTCCATGCTGAGTCTTCAGTAGATTGCAAGGGGACCTTCATTTAGGACAACCCTAAGCTGCCCCAAAGCTTTCTCAGGCTCCTCCGGAAGCCTAGTCGGCCCCAGTGTCCAGGGCACCTGCTGACTTCGGCATCATCGTGGAGGAGCTGTACAACATCACCTGCACCAGGTCTCACAAAGGACGTGGCAAGACAGGGTGTCGGGTGCAGGGTTGAATGTATGTCTTCTAAACACCTTACAGTCTGTTTCTATTCTATTCTATTCTATTGCATTGTATTGTATTGCAGTATACCCTCTCTATGTGTAAACAGTATATCTATCAGCTATTGCCAACAGCCATCCAGCCAACCCCTGGACCTTCATGCGCAGGACGAAACCCCTTACGCCCCAAGTCCTCATTCAACTTAAGTTTCCATCATATAAGGAAACCATATGTACCCTCTAGATGTAAATGTAGTGTGGCAACTTGAAGATGAGCTCCTTTGACTGCAACATAAAGCGCCTAAGGTGCAGGGCTCTCAAGTTGCTGACAGAAGTTGAGCGAAGACGTAGCTTACAGAAAACACCCCTCAGCAATCCGCCGGGAACCCAGCTCCCTCAACCCGAAGTCCGAAATATCTCAACTCTGAACCCTCATCCCCTAAACCCCAAGCCCATGAACCAGAGAATCGAACCCTGAACCTGAATTTCTTGAGGCCTAAAGCTGCGAAGAATCTAACGGTCTTCCAGTCGTGCATGCGTCATTAGCGAATCTCAGGTTCTCTTCAGGGTTACTAACTTTCGAAATACAATTCTATATATATATATGTATGTAGGTAGGTATGTATGCATGTATGTTTGTATGTATGTATGTGTGTTTATTCACTTGTTTGTCTGCTTTTTTATTTAGTTTATAATGTACTTCTCATCCCTTGATTTCTCATATCCCGGCCAGCGCCGCGGCTTGTCGGTGGAACGCCGTGGCCGTTCGGTCTTCGGCCCGGAAGGGCGTCGAGGCGCCAGGACTGCCCAGTACGGCCTCTCGCGCAAACACGAGGGGAGTTAGGGAGATTTGTCTAGAGGGTTTAGGGTTTGGGGTTTAGGGTTTAGGGTTTAGGATTTAGGGTTTCGGGTTTAGGGTTTAGGGCTTGGGGCTTAGGGTTTAGGGTTTAGGGTTTAGGAGGTAGGGTTTAGGGTTTAGGAGGTAGGGTTACAGGCACTCCCCCCCCCCTGATTAGGGACATCATGTTCTGAGCAGGGTTGCGCTCCTCATGACCCTACTCACCAGTATCAACCGTCAAGTAGCTGGCCAGAGTTCGGGGTCAGGTTCTGGGGTGCAGGATCTAAGGCCTTGGGACTTGAGGCCTAAGGCAGCTCGAAGCGTGCGTTAGCTTGAGGTTGTTCCATGGTCGGTTGCGGCTTCAAACCTTAAACCGCTAACCTCTCTATGCTAAATCCTACAGGCCTAAACCCCTAAACTCTGAAGCAGTGGCTCTAGGAGCCCCACCTAAACGCAGATTGTTAACCTGACGGCGCGAATCCTGCCACTGCAGCCGACACCCGAAACCCGGCGACACGCCGACAATCCATGTAGAAGTTCCAACCAGGGTTCTCGGGGCTTGGCTTTGGGGCTTGGGGAGTTTAGGGTGATGCCCCCCAAAGCCTGTACTACCTTAACCAGGCGCTAACCGCTAAACCTTACGACTCAAAACTTGAATTCGGGCATTCATTTCTACAACCCTGCGATCCTTGAAGCTCCAGGAGCGACCCCATAACCCTAAACCCTAAACCCCAAACCCCTAAACCCTAAACCCTAAACCCTAAACCCCTAAACCCTAAACCCCTAAACCCCTAAACCCTAAACCCTAAACCCAAGTCGAGGTCACTGGCATGCCTTGCCGGTGACCACCCCGGCGAACGGCTGGTCATCCGCGAGGCTGGCGGCAGGTCCTCCAAAGGGGTTTAGGGTTTGCAGTTTAGGGTTTAGGGTTTGGGGTTTGGGGTTTGGGGTTTGGGGTTTGGGGTTCTGGGTTCTGGGTTCTGGGGTTTGGGGTCTGGGGTCTGGGGTTTGGGGTTTGGGTTTAGGGTGGGAGGTTGGGCCGGAGGGGGGTTCGCGGCAGTTCTGGGCAGGTCTCGTCCCCACCCCCAAGATCGCCCAACCCAAATACGACGCAACACGAATCAAAGCCAGAGCGCCCGCCACGGACTCAAGGCTGAGGGTCGAAGAGCTTGGAGCAGTCTTGACATGCTGCAGATGACACATAGCATCATTGGCTTCAGGGTTCGGGCTTTCAAGTTCACAGGGCCGGCACGTGCAATCTGTGCATGTTGTCTGTTCAGGTTATCTCCGTGTGGTTGTCTGCGTGTCTGTTTGCTGGTCTCGGCACTACTTTACCAGTGCTCGTCCCGAAGCCCTGTCCTGGGCCACCAAGGAAGCAGAGAGTGGCAAAGGGCTCCTTGCCGCGGGTGCGGGGGGAGTCGAGGGTGTCCCCCGTGTGGGCCAAAAGGTGACCCCAAGAATCGGAAAGATTACAAGGCCCATGCCCTCAATGAAGGAGAATAGGAAGCTTCTGCAAGGGATGTAGTCGTGGTTCGGAGCCCGGTGAGTAGATGATCACTTCCGCCCCTTATTGAAATTGTGTCTGCAAGGTGCTTGCACAACAAAGCAACCTCAACCCCTGAACCCTGTGCACATTATCCGCTTAATGTGCCGGCTTTCTACATGCTGGATTTGCTCAGGGCTGTCTCGTGAAGAAGCCACCTACAGGAGCCCCTGTAAACCTAACGCCCTAGGTTGGACACTTGCGAGCCTCGCGGTGCCAAAACCTGGATCCCGCAGCGAACCTAAGCCCTGCACCGTGATCCCGACATCAAGCTGCCCTGGCGAGCTTCACAAACCCTTCCAACAACTCCTAAGCACGACGCATCAGAAAAGCTACGCCACAAACTCCGCACCCTCAGTCGCCACTCCTCCCCGGTCTCGGATCGGGCCATCAGGCCCTCGAGCGAGTAGGCGCTCGCAAGCTGAGAGAGGGCCTTCCGCTTGCCCATTCGTGGTACAACCCCTGAACCCCTAAACCCTCAACCCCAAACCCTAAACCCCAAACCCTGAACCCCAAAATGGCCGCCCGGTCTTTCAGAGCCAACGCCCCACACCGCAGCCCGCGGCCGCCTGTCGAACCAAAAACCCTGAACGCAAACTCTGAGCCCCAAATTACCTCAATCCCTTGCGGTCTCAAACCCTAGTAACCCGGTAATTAAGCACTGTGAAGCCCTTCTTACACAGCCAAATCAGGGCCCTAGAAAACCTTCGAGAACCCCTTCAACTTGCAAAGGAGCTCAGGGTCTAACTCTGCGTGTTTGATGTCCTTGGGGTTGAAGGGTCGCGTCCTAAAGCCCTAATATAGAAAATTAGAATGGGGTTTTGGGGGTCACTATAGCATGATTACAACGGGACCATGCGGATATCATTCGCAATTCTTCCGACGCCTATATTGGACCCTGCAAACCTGAAGCTCTAAACGCCGAAGACTGAGGCTCCAACCCCGAATTGCAAGGTCAGCGTGAGCATCCTAGTATATATATATATATCTAGTGACTGCTCATGGGTCTTCTAATTTAGGAGCGTAAGGTTTGAGGTTTAGGGCTTGGGGTTTAAGGGCTTTAAGGGTTTTGTGGCTGGGATGTTCCCCCTTCTACTAACAGTCCTTAATAGGGATGATAGTACCCCAGATTATATTCCCTATTAAGGAGCTGTTAGTACAAGGGGGAACATCCCAAGTTTGAGGGATAAGAAGCCGCACCTTGCTGTCTGGCGACGAAGCGAAAAGCTGAATGCGGTCGATGCTTTTGTGACCTCGGAATCTTAAGGGAATGCGAAGTTGAGAAGTGAGAACCTCAGGTGCAGCTTGAGAACCTGAAACCCTAAAATCCGTAGGGTTTAGGGTTTAGGGTTTCGGGTTTAGGGTTTAGGATTTCGGGTTTGGGGTTTGGGGTTTGGGGTTTGGGGTTTGGGGTTTGGGGTTTGGGGTTTGCGGCTTAGGGTTAAGGGTTTAGGGTTTAGGGTTTAACCGCCAACCCCTGTGCCTCCAGAATCCGTTCTGGCAGGGAGTGAGGCTGAGGGATTCCAGGGGTGTGGAGTCGCTTGTAGCACTGAGGGTTTAGGGTTTAGGGTTTAGGGTTCAGGGTTTAGGGCTTAGGGCTTAGGGCTTAGGGCTTAGGGCTTAGGGCTTAGGGCTTAGGGCTTAGGGCTTAGGGTTTAGGGTTTAGGGTTTAGGGTTTAGGGTTTAGGGTTTGGGGTTTAGGGTCTAGGGTTTAGGGTTTAGGGTGCGTCAGGGGAGGGCGCGCGCTCGGGTGTGAAACACCCCGGGCCGCGCGCTCGCGTTGCCCGTCAACCCACCCCGGCCACCCAAACTATTCTCTATTAGGGTTTAGGATTTATGGAATTTATTTTCTTGTGCCCTGATGCTTGCTTTGATGTTTTTAAAGTTGCGCTGTTAGGGTTTAAGCTGGGGTTGGGGGCAGCCTCGGCCCTTTTCGGGCCTTCGGCGTGTCAGGGCCCGTAGAGGCCCTTATTTATTTGAAGGTCAGGGAAACCCTTTGTGCCTGCTCCTGGATTCCCCTTTTAAGGGCCTCAAGCCTTTTGGTGGCTCTTGGGGCCTTTGGGGGGCTTCCGGGGGGCTTCCTGGGGGCTTTCCTGGCCCTTCCGGGGTAAAATGAAGGGGTGCCCAAAACCATCGATTTCAGTACCAAAAAATCGCATTTTCATTGCGGGTACGGGCATCCTGGGGTCGGCCTTTTGAAGTCTTTTGAAGCCTGTTGGTGGCTCTTGGGGTCTCTCGGGGCCCTGTTCGGACCTTCGGCGTGTCAGGGGCCGTAGAGGCTTTATTCATTTGAAGGTCAGGGAACCTATTAATTTTTTTCGCCAATGAGTATTTCAATCGCTAGGGTTTAAGCTGGGGTTCGGGGTAGCCTCGACCCTCTTCGGGCCTTCGGCACGTTAGGGCCAATTCAAGGGTCCCTGCCCCTGCCCTTTCTTGATGCGGGGGTCGCTTGGTGAGACGGTGGAGGCCCTTGGGTCAAGGCGAGCCCTAGGGGCTCTCTATTCGACCACTCTCCAATGGCTCCACCCATTGTCCATCCAGTAAAGGTGTCCGTCACTGCCGGGTATCTTCTGGGTCCAGGCACCCTTGTAAAGGGTGGGTACGGCCTAAGCAGGCCGGGTGGGAATTTAGGGTTTAGGGTTTAGGGTTTAGGGTTTAGGATTTAGGATTTAGGGTGACGCGCACGAGTCGTTCCTTCGCATGCCCATAGTGAGACAAAAGAGATGTGGGTGGTTGTCAAAACTATGGTCCCTTTTGGATCCCTACTATAATACAACACCTAATATTTAGGGAACCCAAATGTGATCATAATCTTGACAAGCACCCATGCGAAGAGCAGCGTAGAACCTTTTTTTGTGAACCCTACTGCCTTTACCCCAATGCCTTCAAAACCATGCCCAAACCCCCACAGCCCAAGCACCTGCCCCAAACCTCTGCCATCCCTGAGCCAAAAAACCACCCTAAACCCCAAACCCTAAACCCTAAACCCTACACCCTAAACCCTTCACCCTAAACCCTAAACCCTAACTGCCCTTGCTGTTGGAGGTGCCAAGGAACAAACGCCCTCGGAGCGAGGGCTGGCATCCTGGCTACTTCAAGACGTGCTCTGGTGGTTGAGGTTTGGGGTTTCGAAGGTTGAGACCTCAGGTTTAGGGTTTAGGGTTTAGGGTTTAGGGTTTAGGGCTTAGGGTTTAGGGTTTAGGGTTTAGGGTTTAGGGTCTTGGGTTTTGGGTTTTGGGTTAAGCGTTGAGGGTTTAGCGTTGACGACTTAGGCCTAGCGTCTTGGAGTTGGTGCCTGAAACTCCTTAACAAAAGGAAGATCTCGTAACTTAGAAAACAAGCCTTCTATGACAGGGTGCAACCCCGCCCCAAACCCTCCTAACCTGTAATAGAAACCGAAAATTATAGACATGCGCTCAAGGGAACATGTAGTATTAGGGGGTAGGGGAGGGGCTAGATCAGGGAAAGGCGTGGAACAACCAGATGGGGGGCTGATCTCTTTCTGACAGATCTTCTCTATTCGGAGTTCTTGTATAACAAAACATTCACCCCCCTAAACAGAAATTATCGGCCCGATTCCCCCCCCCCCCCCCCCCACTCTTCGGGACCAGGGAGCCTTAAAACCACTCAGTGAATTACACGCCAACCCGTGGAACCCAAGCCCGCAACCCTAAGCTGGACCCAACATCATAAGTTACACAGCTGTAAACCTTCAGCCTTACAGCCAGAACCCTAGACCTAAACAGAGCTAAACGCTGATGACCCCCCCCCAAGCAATTCGGAAACGACAAAAACAAAACGCTCTTCAGCGCCCTAAGCCCCAGAACCCTGTAACTACTAGTTTAGAAGCATGAAAGCATCCCTAAACCCTAAACCCTAAACCCTAAACCCTAAACCCTAAACCCTAAACCCTACTAAACCCTAAACCAAACTTTCGCAATGCAAACATGGAACTCTAGCGGCGGTCGAGGTAAAGGCCGTCCCCTTCACCGACAAGGTGACCACACTGCTAGAAAGAAAACCACCGATGACTTGCCTGTTGGTTTAAGCTTCTGAGTTTAGGGTTTAGGGTTTAGGGTTTGGGGTTTAGGGTTTAGGTTTAGGGTTTAGGGTTTAGGGTTCAGGGTTTAGGGTTTAGTGGTGTGGACTGCGGCTTCTTTCGAAAGGCATACAGCCAACTGCGGCCACGCTCAAGTCGAATCACCATCTCGTAGCACCAGTGCTGAGGTCCATCCAATGAAATGTTCTTGGCGTCACGCCGAAGCATTGAGTCTGAGCAAGATCATGGAGTGTGTCTCGCGCTAAACCTTAGACATAAGATGTCCAGGGACGAGACTCGACACGTCTCCATGAGCCTCCCGAAGCCGGCTGGGCCGAACAGTACATATCACGAAACACAGCATCCCGCGAATGTCCTTACATGGCGGTTGGCGATCTCTCAAGAGGGCAGCTTCATAAATTTAGATCGGTTTCGGATGTACAAGAACCTGAACCCCAAAGCCCTAACCTGCTAGCGCGAAACACTAATTATCCTTGAAACCCCTAACCCGAAACCTCAAAACTTCTCCCCAAACCCCAAACCTCAAAGCTCCCTAAGCCCTAAGCCCTAAAACTCCTGCTCGCACCCCCAGTTTTCCAGTTGGAACCAAACCCCCTAAGATAGGGGCCTTCATAACTAGAACAGGGTTTTGGGGGTTCTTATAGTACATTCATAAAAGGACCATAAGGTAATGTTCTTACCGACCCCTATAGTATACCCTAAGATCCAAAAGGGCCGAGAGGTCCTTCAAGAGAAGGCTTCCCTCGGCTGAGATGATGCCTGGCAAGAGGTAGGGGCACGAAACTGTCGGCTTGGGGTTGAAGCCTACTTGAAGTTTCGTGAGCAGTAATAAGTAAGTGGGTTTTAAGTACCCTAAATAAGACTGTACTTGAAGTTTCGTGAGTAGCTATGAGTAGGGTAGAAGTACCCTAAAGAAGACTGTAACCAGTTTCGAGTATAGCTACACGACTATAGCCAGACTCGTAGCTGCCCATGAACCTCCAAGTAGGCTTTGAGGTTTGGGGCGTTGGGGGGCTTTGGGGTTTTGAGGCAACAGAAGCGCGTTGTCTGTGTCGAACGCCGTGTTTATGGCACGTACCAAGTGCTTCATGTGCGCGGGCCATCACCCGAACACGGACATGCGCAGCATCTTCTTCACGAACGGTTGCCTACTATTTGCTCAACAGCCCCCAAGAATAATTAGACTTTCTTCCTGACAAGGGCAATATAGTGCTTATAGGGAGTACAGTATTCATTTCGTATTTTTCGGGCTCTGAAGCAAATAGTAGCTGCTCCTGTAGATGCACTGGGGGGGTCAAGGCGGTGCTGCCCGTCGTGTCGTCGCACTACAGTACGGCAACGGTGGGACTTGTCAGACAAGAACGTACCCTAAACCCTAAACCCTAAACTGCGACTTCTTTGCAGATGATTTGGTAAGGTTCCGTAAGGAAGGGCAGGATGTTGGGCTGTTGGACGCCTATAAGCATGGGCTTGGATGCAGAATGGTGCGTGGATGTGGTTGCGGATTTCCAGTCAGCTCATAAGCCCCAAGTGTGCCCTTCCTTTTTTCAGATTTTCGAATAGTCTTCAGAGTAATACCCAATTTGTTTAGTAACATAGATGTTTTGGCAATGTTATAAGCATTGATCATATTCTTTCGGTTTTCTTATGATAGATTAGGCGATCATTGCGACTACCATTGAGAATCCTGATCTACTCCAAAATGCGGTGTTGCTTCCTTTCCCGTGGGGGGTCCGAACAGGGATGATAAACAAAAGAACGATCACAGTCGTAATGCTGATAACAAAGGCAAAAAAGGGTGATAGTGGTGATAATCAAAACGTGGCAGTGACTGTAGTCGTTGTAGGAATCATACTATTAACAACAAACAAAATAGTGGTGATAATCAAAACGTGGCAGTGAAGTAACAGTAAGATCAAAATACTCCTCAATAACAACAATAACACAGCCCTTCAAAGGCGGCGGCGCCGCCCCAGGGGTAGAGCGCCCACTCGCCGGCGCCGGCGGCCACGCGAAGCTGTGCGGAGTCCCGTGGACGGACCCTGAGCACGGTGTTTAAGGAGCTTTGGGTTTAGGGTTTAGGGGGTTTAGGGTTTAGGGTTTAGGGTTTAGGGTTTAGGGTTTAGGGATCAGGGTTTAGGGCATTGGGCCGCATCTTCAAGATTTAGGGTTGCGAGGGGCCTGTTGTGAGGCGTAGAAGCTGGTTTTGAGAAAATTCGGAGGCTCTGTAGGGCTCTGGATCAAGAGGTTTGAGGATTCGGGTCTTGTGTCTGGGCGTCGGCGGTTTCTCGGGCTCGGGCACTCCGCGGTTCAGGGCTTTTAGGGTGTTTCGGGTTTAGGGTTTAGGGTTTAGGGTTTAGGGTTTAGGGTTTAGGGTTTAGGGTTTAGGGTTTAGGGTTCGGGGGCTTCTGGGTCTCGGGTTCAGGCCAGGGCTGAGGGCTGAAAGTTTCGGGCTTGGTCCATCTTCCAAGAAGCCTTCGGCCCATTCAGTTGGCTATGGCAGTTAGTAGGTAGGGACCCCGGGAATTTCGTTGGTTCCCATGGAGACCTCAATGACGTCACAACGTCTCGAAGCATCGCATATGGTTGATAGAGGAAATCTTGCGCACCGCCTCCTGACTGACAAGTGACATGATGCACGAGCGTGGCCCCACACCCCCTGTTTGACATTGAAGACGATGGACAGGAGGGTGGTGCAAGATTTTGATCATTGGAACTCACGCCTTTTCTGACCACAAGAAATCCAGGGGGGGGGGGGGGGGGGGGGGGGGGGGGGGGGGCGGGGAGGGGTACTCGCTTAGCTTGGCTGGTTCAAGTGGCGCAAGATATCCTCCATGGGATCAAAATGGCTGGAGGCTCCGGAATGCACCAGGCTAACGGACTCGAACGATGGTAGGGGGGCTTTTGCACTGAAAGCACCTCCTTGACAAAGCAGTATCGGGCTCTTTGGGTTCCGGCTTGAGGGTTTAGCGTCCTGGGTGCCAGGCAAGTCGGAAAAAGGGTGGGGGGGAAGGGGGGGGGGGGGGGGAAGGGTGGGCAACCTGGGCCCAGCTTTACGGTGTTCGTGATGTAGGGGCCGTGAACCCGAAAAACCCTGCATGGGTCGTTTGATGCGCACCCTTCCCAACATCCCTAAACCCTAAACCCAAACCCTAAATCCCTAAACCCCCAAAAGCCTAAGCCCTGAGATCCGGATCCTCCTCCCGCTTGCCTGGGGAGCCCGATCCAAACGTCCGCCTCTTTGACATTGGCCTCGCGCACCTGGCATCTTCACTCACTTTACCACGGTTCAGGGTTTAGGGTTTAGGGTTTAGTAGCAGTTTAGGGGGGGGGGGGGGGGGGGGGGGGGCTGGGACTACTTGCATGGGTTGTTATGAGTAGGGTTATGAAGATCCTAAATAAGGTTATGACCAACTATATTCATAGCCACCCTACTTACAACCCCACCTATAGCTACCCATGAACCTCCGTGAACCTCCAAGTAGAGCCTCTTAGAGCGACATACGTATGCACCTTCGAGATCTGGATGTGTTGAACCTTTGAACCACCAGCTCCATTCCTCCCACTCGGCCAACTTTCCGGGAAAGGGCGATGCTTTGGGCTCAGAGTTTACGGTTTAGGGTTTAGGGTTTCGGGTTTTGGGTTTAGGGTGTCCAATTACATTGGGGCTTGATCTTCTGCCTAGCTTCTTTCTCGTACTTACAGGTTTCTGCTCGTCTTCCTTTTTGGCCGCCTCATTCTTCCGCTTCTTCTGTTCCTGCCCCTAAAGGCTACGGCTAACTACTACAAGCCTCGGAGCACCTTGTAAACCCCTGAAAGTGCCCTAAGAGCCTTCAAAACCCTAAACCCAAAAACACTCTAAATCCCTCCAAACACTCTGAAAACCCTAAGAACCCCCCAAAACCCTCAAACACCCCAAAAAGCACCTCCTAGAAACCCTAAAAAGCCCTAAGAACCCCAAAACACCCTCAACACCGCTCCTCGAAACCCTCAAAGATCTCTTTAAGCCATGACCCGAAAACCCCTTATACCCAGAAAGTACCCCGAAACCTTCCGAGGCCCCGGCTACGGCTTTCAGCGCCTCGGCCGCAGCGACGGAGGGGCTCCGGTCCCCAGGCTCCGTGGCCGCGCCGGAGGACTCGTCCTTGTCTGGGGTTTAGGGCTTTTAGGGCTTTTAGGGTTTTTAGGGTTTTTAGGGTTTTTAGGGTTCTTAGATTTTTTAGGGCTTTTAGGGTTTTTAGGGTCTTTAGATTTTTTTGGGGCTTTTAGGGTTTTTAGGGTTTTTAGAGTTTGTAGGGTTTGTAGGGTTTAGGGTTTAGGGTGCTACAGTTAACTTCTGCAAGTTGCATTGGCAGCCCAACATTTCACCCAAAAAAACTCTAGTTGGTTTCAGGGCTGGGTGGAGTCGTTTGGCCTACGTAGGCTGGGTGTTGCAGAGGTTTGTTTCATTGTACACATCCGAGGCACTTCATGCATCCAATGACCTGAAGACTTTGCAAAAGCACTCTTCAAGATCCTAAGTACCGGAGACGGGCTGATTGCATGTGACAATCTGTGGCTGCAGATGTGTAGGGTTCCTCCCGAGCCCCGAGCCTCCTGTCTTAAGTCCAGAAAAAGTATACCCACAGGCTCCCTCTTTTTGGGGCTAATTTTGGGGAGAGGCTTAGGAGTATGGGAAAGAAACCGCGCACCCCCTGGTCCTCCACGCGACGGATCACACCAGTGCGCACATCGGCGTCGAAACTTGGCTTAGGGCTTAGGGTTTAGGGTTCAGGGCTGCTTTTGAAGCTTCGGGGGGGGTTTCAGAGTTCAGGGCTTTGGAGGTCGAGGGTCGCATTGCGGTCTCAAGGCATAGGGCCCCAGGGTTTGGGCCTCCGGGGGCCCGAACTACAGCTCAAACATCGGGACTCATCTTCCTCATGTCGGTCCTGATCCTCGCGCCAAGAGTGCACCCCCCCAAGTTTAGCTGGGAGGTCAGGATCACTGGGACCGTCTGCGAGCGCCATCCACTGAGCGAGATCCATGTTCAAGTGCTCGGCCGCCCGGGAAAGCTTGGCATTCCGGCTTGGAAGCGTGCGGAAACTACGGGCAAGCCAAGGGTAAGCCCCACAAAACGCGACCCAACCCCAAAAACCTCGCCAACACCCGCAAGACGCCCCCCCGTCCCTAAACCCAGAAGCCCTAGAACCCCAAAACTGCTCTAACTTGAAAGTTGGGTACTTGTATGTAGAGCTGTACAGCCTTTGCTCCTCCGCAGCTCTCGGCGCAAAGCGACCCTTCTTTGCCTTCACCCCCACCATGGCATGTAATTTCATCTGTTTAACTTAGGGTTTAGGGTTTAGGGTTTTTGGGTTTAGGGTTTTTGGGTTTAGGGTTTAGGGTTTAGGGTTTAGGGTTTGGGGTTTGGGGTTTAGGGTTTAGGGTTTCTAAACCCTGCCCTAAATAGCCCACCCCCGCTTCCCAGCCAGGAAGAAGGCAAACCCTGAAGCCAGAAACCCAAAAACCCTCAAGACCCTAGACCCTAAACCCAGAAGCCCGAAACACCCTCAATGGGCTTACTTGAAGCATTCTGAGTAGCTTTCGGTAGGGGCTGCCCGAATATCAACCCATAGGATCCTCTGCAACATCTCTCCGTGCTGCCCTAGCACACCTCCAGCGGCCTCCCAATGGCCCGCACGCCACAGAGGTTGATTGCAGTGCCTAGCGCTCCTCGGGGGGAGAAGGGCTTTCGACTTAGGGCTCAGGACCCAGGGTTTAGGGTTCGGCTTAGGGTCAAGTGTTCTGGGCTTACTTGCACATCCAAAAAAAAAATCACCAAGTACACTTGTAGGAGAAACCGGAGACCCAGGGTGTGCTTCAAAGACTGCGTAAAGCATCAGTCCCCTGAGCGCCTGCTTAAAGCTAGGTTGCCCAGTAACCTAGGATGAAAAAGGGTGCCCCTTTTTTCCTTGAAGGGGTTTATAGGGGAACCTAAACCTACCAAAAGGGAATAAGGGCACCACTGGGCATCCTAGAAAGGGTCACAGGTAGACACCAGTCGGGCACAAGGCGCCTGAAATGACAGCTGGCCCTAGCAATCCAAACGTTGCTTCTAAGGTGCCCTGCTAGGGTTTGGGGCTTCCACTCTCTCCCTCCATGCAGCACAGCAGGTCCTGGCAGGAGCAAGACGAGACAGTCTCCGGATGTGAGACTGGCGTCTCCTGCCCGGCGGTTCCATCCCTACTCTTTGCTTCAACGTCCCAAACAACCTCAAGAAACCTGAGGGTTTAGGGTTTAGGGTTTAGGGTTTAGGGTTTAGGGTTTAGGGTTTAGGGTTTTGGGTTTTGGGTTTTAGGGTTTAGGGTTTAGGGTTTAGGGTTTAGGGTTTAGGGTTTAGGGTTTAGGGTTTAGGGTTTAGGGTTTAAAAATACTATCTGCTTTAAGGGCCACCCCCTCCCCACCCCCCCACCAAAAAAAGAATTGAGAGTATTCTTCCTTATAAGGGCAGTATAGGGAGTATTATCTTGTTTTTATGGGGGGGCGGGGGGGGGCTTGAGCAAATAGTGATTCGGCTGAGGAGTCCGGGCTTGCCCGCCTTGAGGGACTCATGGGCAGGCACAAGCAGGGCTATAGAGGTATCCTAACAAAAGGCTCTGACCCATCATACCCCAAGTTCGGACTTAGGACCACCCAAGAAGCGCAGACAGGGCTTGGGACACCGATCCGCAGCTCAGTGTGCTGCAGTGATGTAGGACTTGCGGGGGAGGCGGGTATTCAGGGCCCAGGGCCCTTGGGGCAGGTTGGAAATTGGAAACCCCTAAACCCTAAACCCTAAACCCTAAGCTTATAACACCCGAAGCATGGTTTAGGCTGGTCTCAACCTTGGCACCATAAAAGCCGTTTGGGTTCAGGGTTCTTCGCAGGGTTTGGGGAGACAACATCTGAACCCTAAAAACCCTAAACCCTTTCTTGTAGTCTAGGGATTCTCTAAACTTGGGTCCCTTTTTGGGCTACCAGGGCCCTGTAAGATTTTTTGCTTTCTATGCGTTGTATGAGGTTGTATAGGGTGTAGCGCCCATAAACCTTTAAAGCTTATGCCCCAAAAAGCCGCGAACCCCACCCAGAATCTTCCAGGCTAACTCCTAAAATTCTAAGACCTTGGAAATGAAGCCAGGACCCTTCCTTACTGCCTCTGAGGGTACCACCCCACAGAATCCCTTAGAGGCACGCTAGGAACCTGACTCCTGAAGACGAACCCCCCCACTCGAAACCTAAACCGTAAGCCCTAAACCCTAAACCCTAAACCCTGAACCCTAAACTCTAAACCCTAAACCCCGAACCCTGAACCCTGAACCCTAAACGGCCTGCCAGCAGAGACACGGGCGGCGCCGCGCTATTTTCTGCCGGGACCTGCGCGACGACGCCCGCCTCGCTCCAGCGGAGGAGGCTATGTTCAGGACTTGAGGGGGGTTTAGGGTTGAGGGTTTGGGGTTTGGGGTTTGGCGTTTGGGGTTTAGGGTTTAGGGTTTGGGGTTTGGTGTTTTGGGGTTTAGGGTTTAGGGTTTAGGGGGGCTCAAAGTTTCAGAACTCCAGGGCCTTTTTGGGGCCTTAGGCTCCAAGGCAGCGGGAAATTGTTCGTAGAGTTTCGATGCTTCAGGTCACTCTTGGCCTAGGCCGTCGCAACCCCAAGGAATGTCTGCGACGTGCGGCTCGGAGGTGTCTCAGTTGAGCCAGGCTTGTTTGGGATTCTGAAGCCCTTCCTTGGGCAACATGGGCCCCTTACAACCCTCCTCCCTTCCAGCCACTTGGTTCCTTAAGATGGTTCGGGTTTAGCTAGAAGTTCATGGGTGCTTGGGGAGCCAGGGCGTGTATACATACTTCAGAGGCTGCTAAACCCGGAAGCCGCAAACCCGACACCTGCAGAAACCCCTCACAAGGTTTGGGGAGGGCTCCCTGAACCCTCAACCCCCAAAACCCAAAACCCTCAAGCTGAAACTACACAGCACCTGTAGAAGACTGGAGGACGAGCCTTCCTGGCGAAGGGGTAGCAGACGTCCAGCAGGGCCATGGTACGGCGGGTCATCGCCAGTCCCCTGGCAACCGCGAGACTCCGCGCGCTTGGAATGGCTATGCGCGTGTGACGGAACAAACAGCATGCATGTAATCAGGCGCATTCTCCTGTCCGCACACAGGCAAGAAACATGCCTGTACAAATATTTGTATACACGTACGTATATACATGCATACATGCATACATGCATGCAGGCACACATGATCATACGTGCATGCAAATTTTTTAGGGCTTCGAACATGGGATGCGTAGGGGGCTGAAGGTTCAGGTTCACGAGTTAGGGTTGTTCGCTTCAGAATTCCGATCTTGCTGGTGTGCTTCCGGCGTCCTTCGAAGACTTCAGGGTTTGTGCTCTAGGAGAGTAGAGTCTATGGTGGGGAGACTTGCATCGGCATCCGAAAAACCTGAAGCATCCTAAAGCACTCCAAAATACCTAAAACCCAAACCAACCAAACACCCTGGCCCTCCTTCCTGAACCCTCGGCGCCAACTGAGCCCTAAACCCTAAACCCCCTAAACCCCCTAAACCCCCTAAACCCCCTAAACCCCCTAAACCCCCTAAACCCCCCTAAACCCCCTAAACCCCCTAAACCCCCTGAACCCCCTAAACTCCCTGAACCCCCTAAACCCCCTAAACCCCCTAAACCCCAAACCCTAAACCCAAAGCCCTGAACCCCGAACCTGCCTTGAACTCTCGCTGAAGAGCAGTGCGGAGCCGACGTCCACGGACTCGCGCCCGAAGAAGCGTCCTGGGTTTAGGGTTTAGGGTTTAGGGTTTAGGGTTTAGGGTTTAGGGTTTAGGGTTTAGGGTTTAGGGTTTAGGGTTTAGGGTTTAGGGTTTAGGGTTTAGGGTGTAGGGTTGATGTGGGGTTCACTTTAACGTTTTTGGGGGTTAGGATCGAGAGTCTCGAGCCTTGGCCGCTGCCTTCACCTACACTACCCCCCCCCCCCCCCCCCCCCCCCGCTCGAATACTCGGTCTTCGAAGGGCGCTTCTACCGAAAAGAGGGCTTGGGGTTTAAGGGTTTTCGGGGTTTTAGGGGATTAGGGGTTTAGGGGTTTAGTGTGTTTTTAGGGGTTTATGGGTTTAGGGTTTAGGGGTTTCGGTTTCGGGTTTAGGGGTTTAGGGGTTTCGGGGTTTCGGTTTAGGGGTTTCTGGTTTTTAGGGGATTAGGGGTTTAGGGGTTTAGGGTTTTAGGGGTTTAGGGGTTTAGGGGTTTAGGGGTTTAAGGGGTTTAGGGGTTTAGGTGTTTTCGGGGTTTAGGGGTTTAGGGGTTTAGGGGTTAGGGGTTCGGGGTTTAGGGGTTTAGGGGTTTAGGGTTAGGGGTTTTAGGGGTTTTAGGGGTTTTAGGGGTTTTAGGGGTTTTAGGGGTTTTAGGGGTTTTAGGGGTTTTAGGGGTTTTAGGGGTTTTAGGGGTTTTAGGGGTTTTAGGGGTTTTAGGGGTTTAAGGGGTTTTAGGGGTTTTAGGGGTTTTAGGGGTTTTAGGGGTTTTAGGGGTTTTAGGGGTTTTAGGGGTTTTAGGGGTTTTAGGGGTTTTAGGGGTTTTAGGGGTTTTAGGGGTGTTAGGGGTTTTAGGGGTTTTAGGGGTTTTAGGGGTTTAGTGGTTTAGGGGTTTTTAGTGGTTTAAGAGGGGTTTAGGGGTTTAGGGGTTTAGGGGTTTAGGGGTTTAGGGGTTTAGGGGTTTAGGGGTTTAGGGGTTTAGGGGTTTAGGGGTTTAGGGTCCAGGGTTTAGGGCTTAGGGTTTAGGGCTTAGGGTTTAGGGTTTAGGGTTTAGGGTTTAGGGCTTAGGGTTTGGGGTTTAGGGTTCAGGGTTTAGGGGTTTATGAAATTCGAACCTACGCTCCCAACTCTGCAAAGCCTTTAAGACCAAGCATCCTGAAAAGTGTCAGAGTGAGCCCTGATGTTCTGATACCCCTCAAGCCCCTAAAGGGCAGCGGAGGGCTTTTTCATCGAAACCTTGCACCTGAGCAGACGTAACCTACCCCAGAGCCTGAAGCACTGTAGGGTTTAGGGGTTCGGGTTCGGGTTTAGGGTTTAGGGTTAGGGTTTAGGGTTTAGGGTTTAGGGTTTCGGGTTTCGAGTTAGGGTTTACGGTTTAGGGTTTAGGGTTTGGGGTTTAGGGTTTAGGCTTTAAGGCTTAGGGTTTAGGGTTTAGGGTTTAGGGTTTAGGGTTTAGGGATTAGGGAAACAGGTTTAGGGTTTAGGGTTTAGGGATTAGGGTTTAGGGTTTAGGGTTTAGGGTTTAGGGTTTAGGGTTTAGGGAATAGGGTTTAGGGTTTAGGGTAACCCTGAAGCCTTCTTGGGGTCCCTGAGAAGCCTGACCCTGGCAAGGCCGGACCGAGCCTCTACTATTTGCTTAAGAACCCCATTTACACATAAAAAAAGAACCCCCTTATTACCCTCATAGGGAAGCATATATATATATATGTATATATATATGTATATATATATATATACACATGTTTTTGGTTTGGGGGTTCTTAAAGCAAACAGTAGGCACATGAGGGTTGGCTGCAGGCTCAGGGCTTAAGCCGGGGGTTGAGGGTCGAGGGTTCTGTGCGAACGGCCTTGCAGACGACCCTGAAGCATCAACTTGGGGATCTTTTCACGGGAGGAGCCCGAAACCCTAAACCCTGAACCCTAAACCCAAAACTAGTTGCGAAGAGAGCTTAGGGCTTCGGACCTTGTAGGATTTTAGGGTCGGGGTCTTGAAGTTAAGGCTTGAGTCGAGTGGCGCCCGGAGAGCATAGAGCCATTGACCTTGCCCCCATAGACCTCGGAAGCTTCCAGCTTGTGGGATTCAGATCAAACTTTAAACCTGTTTTCGGATGTGCCTGAATGC